TTGCCCATCGTTTAAAATAAATATAACAGCTTTGGCTTTATTTTTTCAATCATAACTTTTATTTTATTAATCATAAAAAGTGAACAAGAACTCACAGCTTCACACATGAAATTTTTTTTATGATCAATAAACAAGTTTTTAAAGTACACAGTCCTAATAACAACTTTTATTTAAATAATTTTAATTTTAATTATGTAAATCATAAAAATAAAATAAAAAATCACAACTTTTCACATGAAATTTTTTTATCATTAAAGTCTAAGTTTTAAAAATAACCAGCCACAATTTTTTATTAAGCATTCATTACTTTTATTATTAAACAAAAAAAATCAAAACTTCCTACATGAACCCATTATTTTTGTTTTAAACAAAAAATAATTTAGTTATTTAACCTAAAATTATTAATGTCAAAAGGGATTTTGAAGGACCTCATTGTCATTTATGCATTTTAATAGAATTTTATTATCATTTTTTTCATTAAAATTCATCACACAATCCCTCAGATTTACAACTAATCAATGATTCTAAAAGAAGTTAATTAAAACTTTAATTTTCTTAAAAGTTGTATATTTTTAATTATATTTTCATTAAATATTTTATATAAGTATTTTAGCATAAGTGAATTAAATTCAAACGACTAGTCTTTGGACTTCAAATGATGTAGAGTACACAGGTCTAATAACAAACAAGTCTTACGCAAAGCTTTGATTCTGATATTGTTTGTTAGAGAATTAGAAGCGACTGCCTAAGAATAGAAGGAGAGGAAAGACATACAAAAATAGCAAAAAAATGTCATATTTTAACTGAAAACCTCAACACTTAAGCATATGGGTCATTCCTCTTTATTTTACATTAATTATTAAACCTAATTTTATCTAATATAAAACTTCTTACATCATTTTATGTCTACTCACACTTGACAATCTAATAAAAATATTATAAAAATTACACAATATCTTACATAATGGATTAAACAAAACTTTCAGAAAATATATATTATTATGGACCAGAGGAGTACTTGAATAATCCCTTGTAATTAATTAAGCGTAGTGAAAATCTTAACTACTATCTATTAAACGTTGGCCAAAAGAAAATGAGCGTTCTGAAGCCGTTGAGGGCGATTCATTAGACTTTACCAAATGTTCCCCCGCACATTAATCATGATTCATGACCCACGTCGAGGATCACGACCCCCGGGCCACGAGTCACGACACGAGTGATTAGTTAGTTGCCACTTGCCAGCAAACTCGAAACTCGTGTTTGCACTTTGTACGAATCAAAGCATTACATGTGATTGTGAACCCTCCCAAATCCCCGCCTTGTCGCTTTCCCGTATCCGAAAATTTATCAATGTGCCCCCTCAGCACTCTGATTCAGATCAAATCTTCACTTTAGAAGTTAATATTTTCTCTGGAAACAATATCAAATCGTTCGCAGTGATCTAATCCTTCTCAAGGTATACACAAAAAGCTTTCCATATTATTAATCAATTTTTAGGTCTGATAATTACTATAATATAATAATACTAGCAAAACAGTATAAAACAAAAAAGATATTTATTTCGGCCCAATGAGATATGGTCTACCTGATCATTAGTTGGACCGAAGCGACTCAAATTAAGTACCCGACAGGTGTTACAATTCCCATGTCGGAGAAGAGGAAAGAAAGGCAACCTAATTCAACATCACAAGAATGCAATGATCAGGCCCCACCAAAGTGAGGCTTTGAACAAACTCGTTGCAACATCGATTTATTAGAAAGTGAAATGGGTTGGGCTCCGTTTCTCAGAATCTTAGTCCTCGTTTTGTTTGTCATGTTGCAAATTGTGGGAAAGGATCCGTTATATTGATGAGTTAACTTCTTGTTATTGGCTTATCATTAATTAATTACTTAGCTCCTTGTTTGTAAAAAAACAATTAGAGATCATATGTGATTTTGATTAAAAATATTAAAAAGTCCAATTTAGTTTAAAATAATGAATTTTAAATTTGAATGTCCGATAAACACGTGATACTCTTCATTGGAACGATGTTCAAATCTGGACCCAGAATCAAGGCATATGCTCGTTACTGGAACTGATTCAAAAATAAGGATCACCTCTTCACCAAAAAAATTATTTTCAAGGGAAAAAATTGTCAATTTCATTATCTGTAAGACTAGAAAAAGGAAGCACGACGCATGAATTCCTCTCGCGCAATACTCGAACAAGATCTGGACAGATCATCGTTATCGGAAAAATCAGTTTTTTTTAAAAAAAAAAGGGAAAGAAAACTAAAGATAATTTGTCTATTTCACTGCCAGCAAGTTGCAACTATTCCGTCCTGTACATCGATTGAGATTACGATATAGGAAGACTTTTTTGCACAGCGCATTAAATCACCAAAAGAAAAACTAAAAACAAAAATGGCAATAAATGGACATAGAATTTTAAAAATTATAAATTTAATTTAATTTCAAAGGTGCAGACTATGCAGATGTCAGATTTATTTTTTCTGATTTTATTTATGAATTATTTTTAATATATTTTATTGAAATTTTTAAAAAATTAAATCTTATTAACTTTTATCTAAAAATTTAATAAATTTTTATCTTTATGCTTTAATAAACACAAAATGAACTATCTTTAATACTCATTCTATTTAAAAATATAAAGCATTTTTAACTGAATCTTACATTTCAGTAAAGTAATTATTTACTTTTAAATTAACTTTATATTTTTATATTTACTCATATTAAATATTTTATAATAAATATAAAGTCATTCATTAATACAGGCACTTAAAAAAATAGATAATAATTATATCTTGTAAGATTAAAAAATATCTTATATTTTTTAATTTTTAAATTTTTAAAAAATATTTTATATTTTTAAATAAAAGGAGTAATTTTTTATAGTATTTAATAAGACAAATGTAAAAATAAATGTAATAAGTAATGAGGTGATTTATAAATAAAATTAAAATTAATTTTTTATTTCTGCCTCTTAAATGAATAGAACCAGGTTGCCTTTAATTTTCTCGAACCGTATCTCACGGTGTCATTTGACTGGCAGAGGTCTCTTCACTTTTTTACTCTCTCATTTTTTTTTACTTTTCTCATCTTTATCGTTCATTAATTTTATTATTTTAAAAAATTATTTAATAAAATAATTTAAATAATAAAAATAAGGAAAGTGAAAAAAAATAGAGAGAAAAAAATAAAAAACCTCTCTCCCATCATTCAACAAGTCCACTCCACCTTTCTTCGCATTGAAGATTTTACTGAAATTTTAATTTCTGTTTATTTTTTATTTTTTTTAAGAATATAATATAATATAAACTCGGCCATGAGGTTCGCATTATTTAATTTATATTAAAAATAAAAAAATTAATCTGTTTAATTTTCCTGCCTTTCAAATGACACGATAAAGGAAATCATTTAACTTCGATCAAGTTCAACTGAGGAAAAATGACCTTGGGGAGCCAAAAGATATAAAAAATAAAAAACAATCAAAAATCTCTATATAAAATTTTTATCTGTTATGAAAATTTAAATGAAAAATAAACCTAAATGAATTATTAATAATTTAAAATAAATTAGAGTAAAAAATATTAAAATTTAAATAGATATTCATGAATAAAATATTAATTAAAATTAATAAATATTCATTCAGATTGTAATAATTAATTTTTAAATAAATTTTATATAGAGGTTTTGATTGTGATTTTTTCAAGATATTATTCAACAAAGGATAATAAAGTAATTTTGACAGCGATGGCTTTTTTTTTTTTTTGGGGTTCCTCGTAACAACGATAAATGAATAAAAAAATCCATTAGTCAAGCTGAGAATGTAAGATTGATCGCAAATAGTCTTTGACAAGATTATTTTCAAACTTCACGGGGTAACGCAAAAGTTCCAGCGGGTAAACAGGTACAATTGTCTGAATGGAGATTTGCACTGAGTTCCGAGAAAATAACTAGTAACAAAAAATAGAGAAATTTAGGTTCGGAGCTCAGGACCCAAAATTCAAGCTCCCTAATTCAAGACTTCAGAAGTCTAGTCCGTGTCTGACTTAAACCCAATTTGACTTTAAGCATCCATCCATTCATCTTGGCCTTGATTACCTTTCTCATTGGGAAAAGAACGGCCACAGATCTTACTCCCAAAGAAGACAAATATCAACTGCAACAATACCATTAAAAAAGAAAATTGCCGAACCCTAACAGAACCAGATCAGCCGTTGATGCAATTCTTAACCTTTGCATTAGGAAAGGGCAACTGGCTCTGCCCCCTTACACGTGTCATCTTAATTTTGCATCCTGCCCCGCACAACCCCGTCCACTTCACGGTCACGTTCATGGTACTATGATCATGATAATGACTCACCGGGGAAATTTACTAAACCCTTTGTCACTTTGAGTTCCCTTAATCTCCCAAGCCCTGTTACCGGTTCTACTCCTGGCTTTGTGTGAATCTCGAGAGTAGTTTTGGCAGCATCCAAGGCAAGAAAAGGGGAACATCAGGCTTCTTAGTGAAGAAGAGCGAGGAGACCTTCTACCAACAAGGCCATTACAACCTCGGGGGATCACACTGTTACATCGGAGGAGGAAATCGTTCGCGTGTCTAACGAAACTAGGAAGACGCCAAGCAAGTCATGATCCTCTCCGTGTGGGAAGACCAGTTACTACTCCACAAACCAGTTCCACTGTGTTCTCAAAACCGTGCCATGGTCATAAAACATACAGAACTTCCCCCATCACTTGCCAGAAAGCAACATGACCCATAATTCGTGGTCTATACAGAGACTGAATTCATTTCCCTCTTCCCATACAGAGGTAAAAATCGAGAAATGGAAAATTTCAAAAACTAAAAGTTCGCTTCTTCTCTGAACTTAGCAGGAATACCTCCACACATTGGCGTTCCCATCTGACTTATTTTTTTTAGTTATGCGCGTGAATATCAACCATCGACAAACGCATACAGTACCATCACAAGTTCACAGACAACAAATCCCTCTCGGTGACAGTAGCTAATGTCATGCAATTTATAAACCAGAGTTCACAAACTCCTGAAAATATACATCACATAAACGACTTAGATAAAAACTAGGAGCTTGGATCCTACATATCAGAAAACTATACATAAATGAGATTAGAAGACAAGACACAATAGTTAATACATATCAATAATCCATTGTCTACTGCCTATACAAAAGCTTCAGATAGCTTATCGCCCAAAATAATGCATTGTAGTCTTGATCTTTTCAGAAACTACCCAGGAAAAAAGAGATCCTAAACTTCTAGTCTTCAACCGTGCCTGTGGAATTAATTATTTACATAGCATCTCCGACTTGTTGCTTCCAAAATAAATCATTACTATTAGGCTCCCTGATTCCTCACATTCTATGCACAGAGCTGACGAATCAGAGAAGGCAGCCATAAGAACCCAAAAAGGCACCGCCAATGACCGTGAACAAAAACCAGAGCCACTCATCCCAAAACCAGCATCCGGGGCTTGGAGACGTACTTCACTTGACCAGCTCCGAAACCCAACCAACATCCGGAGCTCCAGCAGATGTGCTGGGACCCGATCGACCCAGAGAGTTCTCTTTACTGAGTTTCTCAAACATCTTCGCCCGTATATCCCTTCCAGATTCCACCCTCTCCATCGCAGGCTCCTCCTCGCAACTCTGGTCCCAAAGATCGAAGTAGTTAACACAAGAACGGATCGGTGCCTCGGTAGGGGTTGACGGGAGGCTGCAGAATCCTGGACGGAGCACCGATCCACGTGGAGACCCAAAACGAGGAGACCCCACTGGAACATTTCTTGACGGCGGAAGTGACTTTACCTTTCCAAGCTGTAAATTACGCAGAGAAGCCACCATCTCATTGATGGAGCTCGAACCCAGAGAGCGGCTCAGAGACTCTGTCATCGGCGACATAGGAGGAGATTCCGCAGGAGGAGTTGCCGGAGGGGAAATAGAACCCGGAGACGACATGAATGGAAGCGTTTTGGCACAAGAAGACTCAATCGCTTGCCTGAGAGGAGACCCATCATACGAGTCCACCGAATTAGCACTCCTCGGACTCTGCTGAGGAAGGACCCTGAGTTGCTCCGGCGTGTGAGCAAAGAAACAGACCCTTCGGCGGCAACTGGTGCCATCCTTGCATGGCTGAGTACGATAACGGGCTGGATGAAGCCAGCACTCGAACACGCCGTGAGCAAACTCGCACGCATCTCCCTTCTTGCAGTTCCCTTTGCGAAAATCAGGGCATGCAGTACCCGAGTAGTGATAATTCCTCGGGTCCCTACGGCGAGCCTTCTCTCCAGGATGAGCATAAGGACACTCAGTCCAGTCATGTGACCGACCACGTGCGCACCTCCTTACCTTGAACTCGAACATGCGGAAATGGTCGCAGGAGTAGGCGTCCACCGGAGCGTCCGGCTCCCGTCCAAGAATCTCGGAGTCGGAGTCGATATCGGCGTCGTTCGACGGCAGATAACGCTGGAGTGCCGTCAGCGCTTCTTGCATATAGTACGGAGAGTAATCACCGCCGCTGGCATTGCCGTCGGAGCTTGCAGACATGCCGCTCATCGAGTAAGGAGAGTACATCTCCGGCATCAGATCATCGATGACCGGCCACGGCGGTATGTGAACCGTCGGATTTGCGTGACGGGGCTCTCCGAGCATCATAGAAGAGGACTTTCTTGAATGTTCACAAGAAAGCATCATCGTTGTAAGCCGTTTATAAACTGCCACGGAATTGTCGTTTAACCGTGGTTAGGTTAAACATAACCATGGTTGAGCTTGATCGATGACCGACAAATTTTACTGCGGTTAAAAGTAGCGAAGTTTCTAGCGGTCCGAAGGAGAAACGTGACAGACGGCGTATTAGTGAGCCACGTGGCTAGATATAGGGTGAGGTGTAAGTGCCATGGAACTCTTAATCCACGTGGTAAGAACTGATTGGATGGTGATGGAAACATGGTCAGCGAGCTTTTGTCCCTCTGAGTTTTACGACGCCCCCAGTCTTTGGAAGGCGAGGGAGCGATCGATACGCAACACTAGCTTTTCTTTTAAAAAAACAAAAAAAATCAAGTAAAAGGAAGGGGGAATATTGGTAATATTAATATTAATAAAAATAAAAATAAAACTGGACATAGTTTTAATCGGGAAGTGGGGGTGAATTACTAAATTATGAAGAAAACGGAAAACCGATGGGCTCAAGGTCGCAGAGTTATAATCTGCGGGAGTGTTGTTGATAACCATGTCAGTTAAGGACCTGGGAAGTAACAGCGTGCTATGATGAGATGAGAGCAGCAATACATGAGCTATGAGATATACGCTCATCTTGGGCCTATTGATCCACAATATTCTGTCCATCCACTGAAACAAGAAGCGATCTTGTTTGAATTAAACCTTTTCAGTTTATGGGGAACAAGTATGAGTGAGGATTTGATTCCCTGTAAAACTCTTGGATGCATGTGTTGGTGCAGAATAATAAAATGTGGCCGCCGAGTATCTGACATTTCATGATTCACAGTGCGGTTCGTTAATTAGTTGACCTTGCGAATGTTTTGTATCCGTTTGGCTTACAGTGGGACAAGCATCCCTAGATTGGCCGTTCATCGTTTTTCTTTCTACAAGGTAAAAAACTGCCAGCAATATAAGCCGAACATCAATGGCGTCCTTTTCTTTCTTTTTTTTTTTCATTTGTTTTTGGTTTGAGAACATCAATTGTGTCAAATCTCCTGAAGTCATTCAATCGTGCGCTTTTACATTAGAAGATTAAGAGAGCCTCCAACTAAAATCTACTTTCGATTATACGTAGAGCTATAATTAAGAAGACACATACGAGAAGCTCCTATGTGAAAAATAAGACCTATTCATACGGTTAAGCCGGGGGGAAAAAGTGAACTGATCAATAGATTATTTTATTTAAATTTCAAAATTAGTCGCGGCTATTTTTTCCTTTTTAGTCTCGTATTTTATTTTTATAATTAAGTAGTTATCTATAACATTCACATATTTTTATCGATACATTAATATATTTAATTAAAAACAAATCATTTTTTTTTATCTGATTCTAATCAACAAACAATTTTTTTTTTTTTTGCCATGGTTCAATATCTGACTGGTTTCCAAGGCACTTTTTTGTTTTTGGTGGATCGGCTTGAACTCTAGATAGATAATAAGCAGATACTTTTCCTTTTCCTTTTATCTTCTTTTTTGTCGTCGGCTATCACTTCGTTTACAAATCAAGTGTCACGATCTTTTATTAAGCAGATCCATGATTAGAAATTAACAAGTGATTTTCGTACCAAAACAAAAACAAAAAGAAATTAGCAAGTGTTTAAATAGCGATGTACAGTAAGCAAAACAATTTAAGAAAGGGGCTGGCACGTTAGGGGAAAAAACACAGTTGTACTTATTTAAAGCAAGCGAAAAATGTATTTAATTATATAGAAAATAAATTATAATAATCACGCCGGACAATTATTTTACTGTCCCACAATATCATCTATAAAGATCAGAAGGGAGTTAGGCGGAGTAAACGAAACGATAGACACGGAGAGTGGGATCGCATGAGGGCGGCTTCACGAAGCTCCTGATGAGGTCGAGAGAAGTCAGGAATCCGAAATCGTGTTCAATATATTTATAAAAAGAAATTGATCAAACACGAAACTTTCACAAAGTGGGACCTCAGAAGTTGAGATTGCACCCGAACAAGAATCTCAATAATGACCGGGGCAATGCTTACCTGGTTTAAAATCAAATTATTATTTTCGTCCATCACGAAATTAGCGGCTTCATAGGGTTTTTCCCACGGTTCGTTAGTATAATCTGAAGTATGCAAGAATTTTCATATTATATTCCTCGCAAAAACAAAAGAATTTTCAGATTCTTTTACCATCGAATTTTCAGATTCAAAGCAGACGTGACAGTGTGTATTAGACTTGATAATATAATGTATTGGTGGTCTTGGAGAATCACAATGTGGGGGTTTAAATGTTGACTTTGTTTTAAAAATTTAAAGAACTTATTTTTAAAATTTGGCTGTAATATTATATAACTAAACATTATTATGCCCGACTTGGATGACTCTATATCTACTCCACTAGCTGGACCTTCACGAGTGATGGCACTGGTAATTTACCCTCCCACCACCTCGACCTTATCGGTTTCCACTTACCACTCTCTTTTGTTTTTTCCCATTGAAGAGAGTACTGACGACTGACGAGACTAATAAACACAGACAAAGCAGCTAGAAAATTACCAATATAACATAAAATTAGCTAGATGCATGGTTAATTAATATACATGTCCAGTGTGAGGAGCAATAGGCAGAGCCAAGATAATGCTTGTCAGATATTAGAGAGATCGTTTTGTGAGACATGAAAGAAGGAAGGCGAGGAATTTAAGAGGATGAAGAGACAGAAAGGAAAGGGGGTGGATTGGTCGAAGTTGGGACGTCAAAATCCCCGGGGGGGTCAAGTATGGATAATTATCACAATAGGAGAGGCATCCAAATTGGGTGAAAATGATATATTTGGCGGATTGCGAACTTTACAAATGATTCTCTTCATTATTTTTTGTTCCCATTCGCAACCCTTCTATATTGACCAGGCACAATCTTCATCCACTCCATCAAACACTGCCTCCCAATTCCCAGGAATATCCAATTCCCCCCTTCCCCATCATATCCCGGAGGAGGATATTAAATAGGGCTGGGGATGGGGGGGATAGATTAAGGACTACATGAAATTAAATAAGGAGGATAGTGACATTTTGTGACGAACAAACATTTTAAAATATCAAATTTGGTGAGATGGTGCAGTCGCAAAAATGGATCAAGAGGCGGAATTAACAATTGAGGAATGAAGGCGAGAGTGCTGGGAAGCGGGGAGGGGAGTGGAACGAGCGGATGATGTAATGATTCATGAGGGAGGGGAGGGGCATGTCATGTGAAAGAAATCACTGCTTTTTCTCTCCCCTCTGCCCTTGCGCCACCTGTCCCGGGTCACGTGAGCAATGGGCGAAAAGGGACACATGGCCTCACGCAAAGGACGGCATGACCCTGAAGGATGCAGTCTCCGACAAAATGGAGCATTGCCATCTTCCAAAAAAAAAAAAAATGGTGCTCCCCGAGGAACCTCTCTTTGGCTACGGCACAGGTACGGAACTCGTTCCTCCGTCCACGTGTCCTCCCCTTGTTTTGTCCTCTCCAGTCTTCCCCCCCATTCTCCTCCCACCTGTCTCGTCTTCCTTTTTCTCATCCTCAGGATTCGTCTGACCCTCTCCCCTCGACCTTTACTCAATACGAATTTTTTTTTTTTGGCAACCCCATGAGATTTTGGGAATATTACCAGCCACACAAGGCATGAAGAGAAATATGACAAAATATATCTGATGGTGTGTAACTTGTCCAAAGGTGAATATTGACAGAAGACGCGGAAGCAAAATCATATCAATTCAGCGTTACAATCTTAAAACCCAATAAAAGTATAAAATAAAAAAATAAAATGTATAACAAAAATAAAAAATAAAATAAATAATAACATAATAATTAAGGAAAAGATCTTCTAAAACACCTGTTTCTAAAAACCTCAACATTCAAAGACATCACAAGAATTGTTCACACTCTTGATCATATTTGTTTCTTACAAAGAATGCCACTGCAAAGCATTAAGACTTACAAAAGTTAGAAACTTTAAAATGAATAATTTCACCCAACTTCTCTTTCCTTTACAAGACAAAACACGCCTAATATATACAGGCTTGTGAAGAAGGCTATTTTCTAAAATAAAAACATTAATTTCCTAATACTAGAAGAAGAATGAAAAAAATATAAAATAAATGAGAAAATATTCAGCCACATAATTTAAGAAATTTGATCCTGAAATTATGGGATTACAAGACTTAAAAATTAATATAATTAATTCTAATTTTTGATTAAATTTAAAATTAAAAACCATGACTAGTCTTGCTCGTTAAGAAAGAGAGTCAAGTCAATTACCACTAAATTATGAAAACAATTAAAGAGACAATTAAGAGATCATAAGGGATTCAAAATCACATGACCATTGACCTTTTCACTATGGTTTCATGACTTTTTGCTCACAAGAGGCTCTACCTATAGTATTCCTTACATTAGGCTGAAGTTTGCACTTACCGGGCTTAACTCTTCGTGGATTTGAATCTTAAGCATATTATACGCGCCTAAATGCGCTCCTTTAAGCTTAAGAGGAGTGTTCCAATGCTTTCTAAGCTCTTGGACTTCTTGCACAAAATTGAATAATGCTTGCTTCATGGCTTTAATTCATACTCTTATTATTAGATCTCTAATATGATATAAAGGGTCTTTAGGCATGTTAGATTGAAAGTGTTGGGCTCCTTGCTTCTTGCCTTAGACTCCTTTCATGCCATCATACTCATGCTTGCTATTCTCAAACTTCATTGCCATTAACGCCATAACATTTGTGCCATGGGGTCTATTGAATATTGAAGGCCAAAAACCTCGAGTATTGTTGCAACTGTTGAAGATTCCTATGTAAAAATGGGATCGTGTTTCCATTGACTTTCTTATGAGGTTACCACGTATCTTGTCCAACCTTGAGGTTCTCTCGATAATAATAGATAGATTGACCAAGTCTACACATTTTCTAGCCGTAAAGGCTAACTATTCCCTGAAAAGGTTTGCAGAAGTCCACAT